ACAACGCCGTCGCAAGCTTATTATTGACGCGGCTAGGACACTGCATAGAAGCCAAATGATCATCTTCAACGAGAAGACAGAAGAGCTTCGAGCGAAGGATGTCGGCCGCATAGCGAGTCAGTATTACGTGCTACACAGCAGTATTGAAATCTTCAACACTATGATGCGTCCCCAGGCAACCGAGTCTGATGTCCTCAAGATGATCAGTATGAGCAGCGAATTCGACAACATCCAGTCTAGGGAGAACGAGGCCCAAGAACTACACCGTTTGAAAGTAGAGGCTACTGCGTGCGAAGTCGAGGAGCGAAAAGCCGTGTCGACAGGCTCCAAGGAAGACAATGAGAAAGAGCAAAAGCTCATCGAGAATCATGCAAAAGTCAATATCCTGCTACAGTCATACATTTCTCGAGCGAGGTTGGACGACTTTGCCCTCGTGTCCGATTCGGCCTATGTGGCCCAGAACGCCGCTCGAATCTGTCGAGCATTATTCATGATTGCCATGAATCGTGGTTGGGGTTATCAATGCGAGGTTCTGCTTTCCATGTGCAAAGCCATTGAGAAGCAGATCTGGCCGTACCAGCATCCCTTCCATCAATTCGATCTCCCGCTTCCGGTCTTGAAGAACCTGGACGACAAGGCACCTTCGTCGAACATTGAGAGCCTCCGGGAAATGGAACCAGCCGAGATCGGAAATCTAGTTAGGAACCAGAAAATGGGGACCACGATCACCAAACTCCTTGACAATTTCCCAACCATGTCGGTAGAGGCAGAGTGTGCTCCACTCAATCGCGATGTGCTCCGTATGCGGCTGTTCCTTTATCCCGAGTTCAACTGGAATGACCGCCACCACGGGACATCTGAGGCTTACTGGGTTTGGGTCGAGAACTCGGAGACATCGGAGATCTACCATCATGAATACTTCATCCTCAGTCGAAGGAAGATGCATGACAGCCACGAACTGAACTTCACCATCCCCCTTGCCGATCCGCTACCGTCGCAAATCTACATCAAGGTCATATCGGATCGCTGGCTAGGTGCAGAAACCGTACACCCTGTCTCTTTTCAACATCTGATCCGGCCGGATACGGAGAGTGTGTACACCGACCTCCTGGACCTACAACCACTGCCTATCTCGGCCCTGAAGAACCCGGCATTAGAAGAGCTTTATGGTCAGCGGTTCCAGTTCTTCAACCCAATGCAGACCCAGATCTTTCACACGCTTTACCACACCTCAAACAATGTTCTTCTGGGCTCGCCAACCGGCTCAGGCAAGACAGTCGCTGCCGAGTTGGCCATGTGGTGGGCATTCCGCGAGCGGCCTGGAAGCAAAGTTGTCTATATTGCGCCAATGAAAGCGCTTGTTCGGGAAAGAGTGCAAGACTGGCGCAAGCGACTGGTCGGTCCTATGGGACTGAAGCTCGTCGAGTTGACCGGCGACAATACCCCGGATACGCGAACGATCCGAGACGCTGATATCATCATCACAACGCCTGAGAAGTGGGATGGTATTTCTAGGTCATGGCAAACAAGATCCTATGTCCGGCAAGTGTCGCTTGTGATAATCGACGAGATCCATCTACTCGGTGGAGATCGTGGTCCCATTCTCGAGATCATCGTGTCACGAATGAACTATATCGCTTCGCAAGCAGAGAGTGGCTCGATTCGTCTGCTAGGAATGTCCACTGCTTGCGCCAACGCAACCGACCTAGGCAATTGGCTCGGTGTCAAACCAGGAAACAACCAGGGACTATTCAACTTCCGCCACAGTGTGCGTCCCGTGCCCCTAGAGATATACATTGATGGATTTCCCGAGCAGAGGGGGTTCTGCCCACTGATGCAAAGCATGAACCGTCCGACATTCTTAGCCATCAAGACCCACAGTCCAGACAAGCCCGTCATTGTCTTCGTGGCGTCGAGAAGGCAGACCCGTCTGACGGCCAAAGATTTGATCAACTTCTGCGGCATGGAAGAGAACCCGAGACGCTTCTTGCATTTCGACAGTGAAGATGACCTCCAAGCTACCCTTTCCGCTGTCAAAGACACTGCGCTGAAAGAAGCCCTAAGCTTCGGCATCGGACTACATCATGCTGGGCTCGTCGAGTCTGATCGAACTCTTTCTGAACAGCTCTTCGCAGCAAACAAGATCCAGATCCTTGTCGCCACGTCGACGCTCGCATGGGGCGTCAATCTACCTGCTCATCTCGTCGTCGTCAAGGGCACCCAGTTCTTCGACGCCAAGATTGAGGGATACAAGGACATGGACTTGACGGACGTGCTTCAGATGCTCGGACGAGCTGGACGACCCCAGTTCGACACCTCTGGTATTGCCCGGATCTTCACGCAGGACGCCAAAAAGGCCTTTTACAAGCACTTTCTACACACGGGCTTCCCGGTGGAAAGCTCTCTACATAAGGTCCTCGACAACCATTTGGGCGCCGAAGTCTCGGCCGGAGTCATCACCACCAAGCAAGATGCTCTGGACTACCTGACCTGGACGTTCTTCTTTCGCCGTTTGCACAAGAATCCCACCTACTACGGGCTTGAGATCTCGTCGGAAGAGCAGCAGGAGAGCCAACTGGCCGCGCGACAAGCCGCCGCGGACTACATGATCACCCTGGTAGATAAGTCACTGGACGATCTAGCAGAAAGCGACTGTGTCTCGGTCCACAACAACGGCGACGTCGACAGCACGCCCTTTGGCAAGATCATGTCCTACTACTACCTCAGCCACTTGACGATTCGGAAATTCTTGTCCAAGGCACGGAAGACAAGGGCCACGACGTTCGGGGACGCGCTCGCGTGGGTCAGTCTCGCCACCGAATTCGACGACCTCCCCGTCCGACACAACGAGGACCTCATCAACGCCGAGCTGGCCAAGAATCTGCCCCTGGACGCCGTCGGCTTGATGGACAACCTTCCCATGTGGGACCCGCACGTCAAAGCATTCCTCCTCATCCAAGCGTTCATGTCGCGCATCGACCTCCCCATCTCGGATTACGTCGGCGACCAGATCTCCGTGCTCGATCAAGGCATCCGGATCATCCAGGCCGGCGTGGACGTCATGACGGAACTCAATCGCCTCGACGCCGTGGCACAAATGGTGCGTCTTCTGCAATGCCTCAAGTCGGCCAGATGGCCCGAGGACTATCCGCTAAGTATCTTGCCGGGCGTGCACGAGGTGTTGGATCCCAAACTTGAAGGCAAAGTCCCGAGCGATCTCGTGACGACCACCGTCCTGGCGAACAGACACGGCGTCAAGACCATGGACGGCTTGATGCACGTTCTGGGGATCAAGGCCCCAGGTGCTCGTGCGGCTTTCGTCAATGCGACCAACGCACTTCCCGACCTCACCCTCACGGCGAGTGGAGATACGGACAATCTGCAACTGACCATGAAGAGGGCGAACCGGCTGTTGAATCACGAAGCACGCATCTACGCGCCGAGATTCCCGAAGCCGCAGACCGAAGGCTACTTCGTGGTAGCTCTCTCCCGTGCGTCTGGTTCTGGATCCGCGAAAAATCACGGGGCCGACATCCTGGCGCTCAAGCGCGCAAACTGGTCGACCACAAAACAAGGAAGTCAGAGCAAGGCGATCGGAAATGCGACAGTCAGGCTGAAGATCCCGGTTGTCGCGGACTGCTCTACGGGTATCAAGGAAGGGGACGGCCAAGAGGGCCAGCAGGGCCAGCAAGTCCAGGTCGATCTCGTAGTCATGAGCGATTCGTACCCGGGGATGGACTGGCGATTGGAGAATGTCGTCGTTCCCATCGCGAGGCCGAAGGAGAATGTGGAGAATGTGAAGACCGTCGAGGTGGGCGTGGATGAGAGCTTGCAGAAGAAGGGCTAGAGAGGGAGAGGGAGCGGTAGAGAGAGAGGTAAAGAGAGGGAGAGCGCGAGAGAGAGGGAGAGAGCGAGAGAGAGGGAGAGAAATGCTATGTATCTTTCAATAGGGCTGATGAGGTTGTGGTTGGTAAGGCTGCCGTTTCCCTATACATATATATATAGAGAAGCAACCCAGCGTTCTGATTAGTGGAAGCTTAGTGCAAGGCTGCGCTCCGTTTCTTGTGTTTTGTCCTTTTGCTTCCGATAGTTTATAGAGAGGACATGCACGGACAGACAATACACACTACTCAGCTCCAGACATCGCAACGTTTCCTTAAGATGTAGGGCGGTTGAGTGTGAGAGAGGTAGTGCCTGCCGTTGTAGAAAGGGATACTCGTTGGTAATGAAGCCTTACCCCCAGTTCAATATATATATAGACAGTAAGTATTAATGAGGAAGTAAATATACGTTATATAACCAATGTAACTAATGTAAGTGATGTAGATAACTCCTCAGGGGGGCATCCCCCCTTTTATATCCATTTCTATATCTATTTCTATATCTATATCTACACCACGTCCAACTCGACCGAGAATTAAAATCCATTTTCATTGATTAGCGCGTCTAATGAAGAAGCACCATGATGCACTTCCCGGCCGCCTCATCCTGCACTCACTCTACAGTAGCTGACTTGTGTCTGCGTAGGTGTGACATAGAATACGATACGATATGATACGACATAACACTCCGTGTGTGGAGGATATGAACCACGGGGACCAGTACCAGTACCAGTACCAGTACCATAACCAGTACAATCCCGACTCCCTAGCTTGTTTAGACAGTCTACTTCATCACTGTATATACTATATATATATGTATAGATGCTGAGCCAAAAGTCCTGTACACGTTCGGATGGACACGGTCCTGTACAGGCACTGAGCTGAGCTGAGCTGAGTTGAGCTGAGCTGAGCTGGGCTCCCCTCCTTGTCAAGATTGAATGGTGCTAGATGGCGAAAAGAAGGCTTCCCTTCCTGTGTCGGTGCAGTCCGGCCGTCTATACAATGACTGCGCCGCTACAAGAGATCGGACCTTCGCATACCCTACCACTTTACTCCGACTGTCGACAAACTACATCTCATCACGTACTTTGTCAAAGATCAAACTCATCTTGGCCCACCTCAACCCGGCACAAAATTAACCTCCCACCCCTGCTCCTCCGGTCTGGCCACCCGCCCTACCACGACGCGGAACCGACCAGCCATCTCTGCGTTCGGCCACCCATCCTGCGGTCGATGCACACGCTCGAGATGCTGCATGAAGCTCGCCACGCCTCCAAAGATCGGCGTCGCCTGCGCTCCGGCGATGACGGCCATGTTGGCGCCCGTGTTCGCCGCCCGCCCGGATCCGGACCTGATGCTCAGATCCGACCCAGTACCTGGACCACCCAAAACGCCTGCAGCGTTTGACATATCCAGCCAGCCACGATTCTCGCCTTCGGCACAGCAGAAGATGCATCCGAAGCTGCCGAAGCTGCCGTCCTTGGGCGTGTCCAGCGAGATGGTGCCTTTGAGGGAGACGTGGCACCGTGCGAGGAAGGCCCAGCGGTATCGGATCCCGCCAGCTTCAGAGACGCGCACTCTCGGATCGAACATCTTTTCTGGCTTGCCCCTTTTCTTCTTGTCGCCGGACGTGTTGACCCTTTGGTGCACGTGGCCTTCAAAGTTGCATTTCTCGCACCGCCAGTAGGAGCTCATGCCAGAGAGGCCCAGAGGTCTGTTGTTGATGGTGAATGCTTTGCGCTCCAGGCCAGCTTGGAGTCGGAACGCCCCCTTGCAGAATCCTCGAAGGTTTTTGTCGGTGGGGAGGGTGAGTGGTCCGGTATCCGTGAGAGGCATGACGGGGAGAGAGGCAACTGTAGAAGATGTTGTGTGGATTGATCGGGCTTGATCGGATGGCGGGACGGATGTAGGTAAGGCGTGACTTTCAGAGACGGCTTCGTGAGGCAGTGACGGTACTTTCGGTAGAGGGCCGGTCGGCGGTGGAGTGCGAGGTGGCCGAGTCCGAGATGGGTCAACCGGTATAGGGACGCACTTCGAAGGTCGCAAAGGCAGTTCTCTTGTCGCTGGCCGGTCATCAGTTTGTGTGCTGACCGGCCGTCGAATGAACTCTCGGGCAGCTCGTTTGGACACCTTGAGTGAATTAGACTGGGGTTCTCGTCGCCGAGGTCTGCTGTTTTCTAGCAGGTGTAGAGAGTTCTGGCTCGACCCCTGAGACCTGGAAGAATAGGACATCGAATCTTGTCTTTCTGGGGATCTCGGTAGGTACAGGTCGTAGACCGTGCTGTTGCTAAACTGCCGACCGTCTCCTCTTACCACCCGATCACCATACTGATCCCTGCCGGATCGTTCTCTTGGCTTTCGACTCCGCTGACCAGTCAAGGCTCTGGTTAGGTCTGGGGAGGAATCTATCTGGCTATTTTGCCCGGAAGACACGTACGAGTCCCGGTCGGTGTCGAGTGCAGGAGTTGGAGGCGTCAGAATGGGTTGTCCTCCAGGTTTGGGGAACATCAGCAGGATGTTGTCCTCTATTGCCAGGGCTTGAGACGACCTCCTACGCATGCGCCGATCGTCGCTCTCTTCAATCCTGTACTCGTCGACGGTGGGTGCGAGCATCTGGATCTCCACAGTAGGCCAACGCATGGCAGCGGATTGAGGACGGAAATGCCGGTCCTGCGAAGCGTCGGAGCCCATGGACGTTTCGCGATCGTCGCGCATCTTGCCCTCCTCGAATGTTGGGCTGAAGCACGACGGTGACATATGCAGCCGACCGAAGTGTTCCGTCATGGCGTCGGGCGTTCGAGGAGCTTGGAAGGCTGCTGAAGAGTAAGTGCTGCGGCTGCTCGAATATCCCAGAGAGGGCGATCGGGGAGGTATAAGCCCAGAAGCGCCCGACGAGTATGGCGATGGTTGCGGATAATACGCCTGTGCCTTCGCCGCGCCCGACAAGCGCCGCGACAACTGACCCAGACACACTCCAGCGTTCACGCGACAGTCGTCGGATGTGGCCTGTAGCACAGGGAGGTCCATCTCAATCCCGTCCATGTAGACCGTCTTGAGATTTATGATCAAGGACATCTGTAGGTTGATCAAGACGTCCTTCATTCGATCTCGTGCTTGTATATCTCCACATGCATAGGCTTCTCCGAACCGCTTGAGCTCGTGCTCATAGTGGCCGCGAACGATCATAGGTCCTAACGCAAGTGATTCTAGGAGGCTTTGGGCGCCTTCGTCGGGCAAGAGTAGGCCGTCGCTGCTTGCTCGTTGTTCGCGAATGCGCTGAACCAATTTGGTGGCATTTTCGAAAGCTGCGATGACTGTAGACGGGATTAGAATCAGAGCAACCAGACATGAGCTCGAGCCTTACCCGCTCGAACGAGCGAAGACATGTCCATCTCCCCTTGATGCTACACGAGAATTGGTGTCGGTCAAGTCATTCTGCACGCCTCTTAGGGTTGTCTGGCTCTGGACACACAATTTGAGGCACTGGGAGGAGACGCAGCAAGCACACGCGAGCGGGACAGAAGAAGCAACAGCAGTACACAAGATCACGATCCTACCGTGGGTAAAGAAGCGCAGGCGCAACCGACTGCCATAGCAGCCTTCCCGTTCGTAGATGTGGTGTTGCCACACCGAGTGCTCAGGCCAGCATCGTCAGTGATTGCGATGGCTGCACACAGCCAATTCCAGGCACGAGAACGGTAGCAGGGATGGAACGGCGAGCGAGGAAGGCGTCGAGCACGTTGCGTGATACGTCTGAGCGTGCATTAGTGGCAGATACAGACGGGGGAATAGGACAAGGGAAGAAAGATGTTGGGTGGGAGGGAAGCTGGCCGAAGTCGCTGCCCTGGCTCGCTGGCTCGCTGGCTCGCTCAGTCCCGGTCCGCTGAGCGGTGGATACTGTAGGAGACGCCGTCAGGCCCTGTGAGAAGAAGGAAGGCGTTGGGTGGAAATGGGGCGCCATGGGTGGAGGAGAGAAGGATCATCAGACGAGAGAACAGGCGAATTATTGGATACGCACAATTGATTGCGAACTGTGTGCTCTGCCTAATCACAACACGCGCTGTCGCTTCTCAGACGTCTCGAGTTTCGGTCCCTAGGAGTCACTGTTCTCTACTCCCTCCACCGCACCAAATATCTCAACCTTGTAGCTGTCGAAGATGCAGTAGCTGAACCGTGGGTTGTGGAGATGAATGTCATATCAAGCCTCATGCGCACATCAAGCCTTACACCGATGAGGACAGGGGGCCATAAAGAAACATGATTCGAGTCCACGACTATCGAGTCGCATCCAACGCACGTGGTTCTCGAGTCTGCCAGATTGCCGCACACGAACTGATTCATTGAACGCCTCGGGGAGATAAGTCACATCGCGTAAATTTAACAGCTTACCGAGCGAGGCTCTGCATCCGCCACAAAGACCGAGAACGTGTCTCGAATCTCGCTTCATCAGGCCTTATGAGGCAGGACACCGACTGCAGGACTAAGGAACAAAAGCAATTTGGTCTGAAAGAATGAATTGCCGCTTCACTATCCCAGCGCAGATAGTCACCATGTGGTGCCGTCGCCACTATCCGTACACAAAAACTGAAATCTAAAGCTACCAATTTCTCGAACCATGCTGGCCAACGCTAAGCTCAAGATCCCATAACGCCCACGGTTTGCTAAACCCACTCCTCTTGGAAACCATCCCCTGTTGCCGCCATGATACCATCTTATGCCACGGTAGAAGAGAGACGTCGGATGCCGGGATCGGTGGCATTCTCGTACGATTCCCAATCCTCCAGGATCTTCGCCAGGCGAGGCGAGTTGGTCAGCCGGTAGACCTCCTCAAAGTACTCCTTCGAAATCTCAAACGGTTTGGCAGTGACATTCGGAATGTACTTGCCAATGAGTTTGGCCGGATCGATGCTGGTCTTGTTGATCTTCTTCAACAGGAACGACCGGAACGGCTTGACGCCAGAGCGCAAGAAGGTGCTGTGGAAAGGCACGTCGATGCCCTTGAGAGGAATGACAGCAAAGCCGCGCTCGAGTTCGATCGGTTGCGGCTTGGCCTCCGTTTTCTTGCGGCATTCGCCAATGATCTCCACGAGGTGGGCTTTGACGTCGTCCAGTGACATCTGTTGCATCAATGCCTGGATGTCAATCTTTTGCATCTTGAGCACATTGAGCACATTCGTCATGCAGTCGAGAGCCCGCAAGTCACCAGCGCACACGTATTGCATGTTGGCGACGTTGTAGTTGACGATCTCCACCAGCCAGCCTGTGGTTTCCGCAATATTCTCCACAACGTACTGCAAGGCTTGTTCGTTGAATGTTTTGGAGATCCGGCTCGGGTTGACCGCGCACATCGAGTAGTTGCTGCGGCCTTGCTCATCACGCTCGACAGCCACCTGCATGGTCAAGCCACGATAGAACACCACTGACACCAAGCTCTCGATGGGCATGACCTCGGCGATGGAAGCGAGGGCAGAGTACTCTCCCAGAGAATGTCCGGCGAAGCTGCTGTCGCGCTGAACGAGGCCCTTGGACCGCATGTCTTCAAAAGCGGCCTTCTCCATCAGAGTCAACGCCGGCTGCGTGAATTGAGTGGCCGACAGCAAACCAGTCGGCGAACGATAGGTGTACGAGTTGGTGTTCTCATTAATCTCCTTGAAGATCTTCTCGGATTTGACAGTGCCGTCAGCATTGATGGACTCGAAGGTCATAGCCATGTAGTTCTGACGGATGGCCTTTCCACGAGGTCCCCCAAAATGAATGGTGAGCTCTTTGGGATTGTTCTTGACGATGTTGATGATGGACAGACCATAGTTGTCCATGAAATGACGGTCGGCCCGATCCCACACCTCTTTGGCAACAGCGCTCCGAGCGTACAGATCCATACCCATGCCCTGTTCCTGAGAACCTTGGCCAGTGAAGACATAAGAGGAGACGGGCTGCTCGACTTCCGCTTCAGCGAGCAGGACTTTGTCGCCGGTTTCCTTGTTGGTGGTCTCGATCTTGATGATCTTGCGACCAGCAACCATGCCAACGTGTTCAAGCTTGACTTCGAGGTCGTCATTGGGCAGAACCATGCCGACGAGTGACACATGGTAGCTGCGAACACGTCCAATGTTGTTTTCTGCGGCCCATGTCTCCACCAAGCTTCGGACAGCGGCGCTGGAGTACATGCCGTGCGTGATGGTGCCCGGCAGATTGGCATAGCTTGCAAAGATGCGAGACACGTGGATAGGATTGTAGTCGCCAGAGACACGCGCATATGTCTCGTTCGAAGCTGGAGCCTTCAGGGACAAGGGGGTCTTGCCGCTCAGTGGGATAGCGTTCTCAAAGTTGACGGGCTGATCAATGGTTTGACCGTGTCTCTCCAAGTAATCGATAACGGGGTTTCCGTGGGAGACACCCGCTTCATATTCGACCGATGCGACTTGAATGATTTCCTTGGTCGGCAATTCAAGTTCGACTTGGCCAACAGTCTCCACATTGGAGAAAACAGTCTTGTTCTTGAAGCGGACCAAGCTCGAAAGACGGAAGGTCAGTGTCTGTCCGAGCAGGTCAATATCCGGCTCGTCGAGATGGAACCACTCCTTTGAACGGAGAACTGCAATGTCTTTGGAAGTTGCGAGGGTGACCTGCATGGGCGTCTCCTGTCTGCGTTGGAAGGTATTCTCAAAGTCCGTGTACGTGCCTCTGTAAAGGAACTGGCTTGTCACTTCCATCACCGGTTGTCCTCTGCGAGTGATGGTGCCGCAAACCTCGACCATCTTGCCGGAGTCTTGGTTGAGTACCGCGTTGATACGGGCAGAGGTGTGAAGCTCGTCGCCGACTTTCAGAGGCTCAGCTCCAGGAAGCATGCGGTAGCCATTAGACAAATGAACAAGCTTGAGCAGATCACCATCAATCGCTCGGGGGAAGATAGGTTTAGTGATCGCCTTCCAGCCCACGACGATGGCAAAGTCCATGGGAGCAAACACTTCCTTGCCAGGCCGGTCGACGAAGGCCTCGCCTGTGTTACCGACTGCGTGAACGAAGTCGGCAACGTCTTGAGTGACAATGGTTGCTTTGCCGCCATCGAAGACATTGGTGGTGGGTGTGTCAAATGGCACTGTCTTCTCGCCAAACCAAATACGGTAGTAGAACTCTTTGATGCGATCGTTGCGGCCATCCATGACCTCGTGGATTGGCGCATAGCCAGTCTCGGGGTGGTAAATAAATTGGAACGGCAATGCAACCGCTTCACCTTCGGCCGTCCTCTCCTCCCACATGTTCATCAAGATCTCATTCTTGCCAGAGAGACTGATGTCGAGAGTCTTGACCAGCTTGCCGGACTGACCAGGCTCCTTGACCACAATTGTGGTCTTGTAAGGATCCTTGGGATGGGCAATTTCGACAGTCATGCCTCGAGTGGGGGCTAGGATGCGCTTGATGGGGTTGTTTTGATACCGAGCACCTTGAACGAAGACATCGGCTGTGAAGAATGCATGGCGCCATGAGTAGTTCTTCCCGGCAAGAAGTTGAATCCAGGCGTCGACGTCCGGCAGAGTGGCGGACGGTGATGACGACAGCCTGTAGGTAGTTCGAGAGCCGTCCGGAATGACGGTGACACCGTCAAGCTCGACAACACTTTCTGGGGAACTAATGATCTTCCCGCCGAAGTACTCGATGACAGGTACGGCGGATTCGCGACCGCCGTAGAAATCCTGCACGAGACCCTTGATGTGATCTTGATGGATTCCGTCCAGTATGTCTTTGATAGGCTCATCAACCTTGGTCGAGTACTTGACAGCCATAGGCCCCTGCAGGATGCAAGTTCTGCCAACATCTTGACCAACAACAGCATCCAGATCCTCGGACTGCCAGAGAGAATCCTTCTTGAACCAGAACTCGAAATTCTCGTCCAAAGAAGGCACGAATGGCACTGGCTTCTGGCCGCGACGTTGGCACAGCAGCAGGAAATGTTGGACATCTTGTGCGTTGATCAACTGAGTCTCTGCAGCAGGGTAGGCGGCGAGAACCTTGTCCACGACTGGGAATGGATCTTCGAGCTCCGCATAGCTCTGAATAAGAGATGGCTTGCCGGAGCCAACGGTGAACCGTTCTTCGACACGTCGGATGAAGTCGACCGTGAGGTTGCGAAGAGTGACTTCAATCCAGCGAGATTGATGCTTGACGTACATGAGCTCAACCATCCGTCGAACGACTTCGGCGTAGGTCATATCCTCGAGGTCAACTGTTTCACCTGCGGAGTTCTTGCCAAACCAGACCTTCTGGAAGTCATCGTTCAGCTTCTTGATGATGTAGTCGCGCTGCTTCTTAAGCTCCGCGACCCGCTTCTTCTTGTCGAGGCTGAAGATCTTCTGATCCATCTCGGCCCAAAACTTCACACCTCGAGTGGCGAGCTTGTGAATCGGCTCGCCCATCTCAGATCGGACAGTGATGACACCTCCCGTGGGCCCCTTGTAGGTCTTCTCCCACTCGCTGTCATCGACGCCCTCAGCTTCAGCAATGGCCTTCTTTGCATTGGTAGAGGTGTGAGCTTCCTTCGCGGTCATCATTCGGCTACCAAACAACACGCCGTCGAACGGCATTGGAGGATAGCCGAACTTGCGAGACCAGGTACCAGTCAGATACGGGTACGTATCGTCTGAGCCGCCAAATCCACTGCCTGCCACGAGGATAATATTCTGGCATTTCCTGATACGGCCGTACATTTGGATGACTGGTTGATGGAAGTCTTCGAAAGAGTGATGACCGCCACCACGGCCACCGGTCCACTGCAGAATTACAGGGAAAGTCGGATTCGCCTTTGCAATGTTGATGACCGATTGGATGGCATCCATGGAGCCCGGCTTGAAAGCGATGTGCTTGATACCGAGCGTATCAATGTATTCTTGGGCAACTTCGATCGACGGCACGCCTGCGCCGATGGTCAGACCCTCAATCGGGACGCCGTCGGCACGTAGCTGAGCAAGCAGTGGAATCTGCCAGCCCATGGCACGAGGATTGACATAGATCAAGTTGACAGTAATGCCTCGCCCAGGAGGAATAGCCTTTTCAATCTTGTTAAGCGCTTCAGTCATCTGTTTGGCATTGTAGTAGCCACCGCCTGCCAATTCGATGTGGTAACCAGCGTTCATGGTTGCAGCAACAAAATCCCAGGGGACTGTGCAGGGGGTCATGCCAGCAACCATTAGAGGTGGAACTCCCAGTAAGCGTGACATCTTGGTATCGACATACGTCTGGCCCACTGAAGTCTTGACAAGTCTCGGGCCATGCTCCTTGACCCAGTTTGTTGCGTACTTAACGGCATGTTCTTCGTCGCGGTCAAAGAGCTCTGGCTTGTACCCGACCTCAGGATTGGTACCGTCCATAGCGCCAGCCAAAATGACCCGAACACCTGTGCCATCTTTGTTTCGGTTGGTAAGGACACCCAGGCCGGAGATGCCTCCAGGGCCAAAATCAACAATGTGAGTGGCGCCCTCGAAGACAGTGGCTTGTTCCCAATGAACAGGATCTTGGGTGATCATGCGCACGAGGTCTGGGACCACGTCTTTATCTTGCTGGGCGCGGAGGTCCTCGCCGGTGTTGGTGTCGTAGACTGGAATGGTCAGGCGCGAAGCAGGAATCTTGAGGTCGCTGAGATCTTCAAGAATGAGTTTGTAGGCCTCACTCAACAGAGGGCTATGGAAAGGAGCAGTGATTGGAAGGAATCGATTCACAAAGCGTACTTTGCGCTCGGTAAAGGGAATACGATTCTGGTCGAGGCCGGTGGGAGCCTTAACCTTTCGCAGGCGGAGGTTGAGACCATGTAAAGAGATTGGAGCGCCAGTGATGACGAAGTTGCGAGCACTGTTGACCAGAGAAATGGCAATGTGCCGGTCTTTGGGCAAGTGCTCGTTGGTGGCTTCGATATGTTCTTGGAGCTGTTTCTTAGACAGGTCGCGGACAGAGAGCATGGGCGTCGGAGCACCCTCGCCAGCCTCGAGAGAATCCTGCAAGATTGAAGGGGCCAGGCTCGTGCGAGGATAGGCTTGCTGACTGCGCATACCGATCCAGAAGAGCATGGTGATGGCTTCTCGGGCCGCCTTTGCAAAACTCTCCCACGATGTGGCAGTGGCAATGGCCGCGGCGGTGACGACGCCCTGCGAATGACCTGTGGTGCCATTGAAGCGCTCGTTGACCTCGCCAGGGGTCTTGCCTAGCACTTTGCAGGTCACTTGATAATGAGCGAGCTGGACGAGCCCGATCAAGGGCAAGCTAACAGGTGCAGACACTAGGTACTCCGTATCCGGCTGGGTTTCTCGGTCTGCCAACCAGCTGAGAATGTCGAGACCCTTGGTGTAAAATTTGTCTGCTTTCGGGCTTCTGGCCAGGGTTTGCAGCAGTTCGGCCGAAGACTCGACCAAATCCTTGGTAAAGGACGGATATGTGGTGTAGACCTCGCGCAGCTCTTCAAAATATTCTTCAATGTTGCCCTGGCCACCAAAGACCGTGAAAATGTTGGCCTCCTCGTCATCAGCAGCCCTCAGCAATGCCGAGTCGTGCGGTTTGATGGGTCGTGCCACAGCGGCGCGGCCAGCGTAGTAGCATTGAACCACCAGGTTCTTCTTCGCCGTGATCCCGGGGAGGGTTGCAGCCAAGGCATGTACGTCGTTGGCGTGCATAAATGCTCGCTCGAACTCGTTCAAAGCCACTTTGAGCACCTCAACAAAGCCGGCGGCCTCCTCGTCCTCATCAACTTCAGCGGCAATGAAGCCAATGTAACGGGCGACCAGTTCGGCGTTTGACGAGGGCTCATCATCCTGAGCCAATTCGTCTGTAGGTGCAGGGAGAGAGGTGATGAACGCATCTTTTAGCTGTGACGCCTGGAAGTGCAGGCCGGTGGGTATCAGAAATGAGTATTCGAGCGAGCCATGTGTCAGGATGAGAGGTCGGAGGTTCTGGGAGGATCGAGGAGTGTGAGTGCCGGTTGCACCGCCGGAATACATGGTTGCTGTCGTCGAGGAGAATGTGCTTGTTGGTTGGAGATATCGCTATGGTGGTGCTGAAGTGAGCAAGCTAATGCCACTTGAAACGGAGCAGTGCTAGAAGTGAAGGAGAGGAGAGCTCTTGCACTGACGGTAGAAACTGGATTGAAATGGGGTGAATGCACGAGAGATGGTAGAATAACGCCGTAGTTAATGAGGCGAGGCTAGGCGATGGCACTGGAGCAACGGAAGGCTGTCTGATGCAACTATCGAATCTTGTCTGTTGGATGCCGATGCGAATATGACCGAAGCTGGAGCGTTGTTGAGAGCACCCAGAAAGTTTTTCCCGCTTCGCCGCCCGGAACATCAACACCCCAAAGCGACCCCTTCGAGCGAAGCAAGCCTCATGGCGCCCAACCACATCTCAGCCAATGGAAATCCCCGGGTGGCCGGCTAGTTTCTGGTGGGCACCATCTACTGCAGGGACGTAGCGCGGCGGGCGTCATCGTTCCTCCCTCAACCCTCTGACGAAAGACAGCTTGGCCTTTAGCCGCGGCCGACGTGATAGTAATCAGGAGCTCTCCGACGCCAGAGCAGTCTGTTGAGCAGGCAGCACTCAACGGCCGAATGGAGGGTGATGGTTCGCATTCTTCGTAACACATTCGTACCGATACATTACAAAAGTGAAGGACACCGTGTTCGCCCCTGGAGGTGCTTCAAGCGCATCTCCAACGTTTTTGGCCGGCTGCGAGCTGCAGCTTTGCCTCCCGCTGCCGCCAGCTCGAAATTTTGTTAAATCGTGGGGGAGGTCGCGGCGCGGCTGGGCTATCGGGATACCCACAGTGCGGTGGAGCCGTCTCCCAACCAACCCAGTTCGAGCTGACCAGGCTGATTCCTGCATTGGGCCAACAGCCAACAGAGTTAAGGGTGTGCTCGTCGATGGCCTGGTAACAGGGCCGTCATTTTTTCATCATCTTTTTTGCCCGCAAGCCGATCGTTTGGAGCTATCCCAACCAAACCGATTCGAACTGTGGCCATCACACGGTTCTCGCCGCTTGTCCAGTTCCGGCTTGGTGCAGATCCAACCCTCTCGTCCGAGCCTTTGCCCATATTGTCGCCGTTTACTTTTTGCCCTGATCATTGAAGGTTGGAAGTTTGAATTACGCTTTATCGCTTTCTCTCCCGCGTCCTTTCCCTTCGACCTACCAACCACTCTATACAACATAGCACAGTTCTTTCCCTCGCCTACCTGTGCTCACCACATACCAATTGCCCCTGCTCTGATTCATTTCATCCAGCAACGGGCAAAAAGGTTGAACCTTTCGATCCCAACCTTCACTGCCCTCTCCCCTTCCGCATCCCGTCACAATGCGTCCCGAAGTCGAGCAAGAGCTCGCCCACACGCTCCTTGTCGAGCTACTGGCATATCAGTTTGCGTCGCCCGTGAGGTGGATCGAGACCCAGGATGTCGTCCTCGAGAAGAACAGAACCGAGCGGATTGTCGAGATCGGCCCGGCGGATACTCTCGGCGGCATGGCCAAAAGGACACTGGCCTCCAAATACGAAACCTACGATGCGGCCACATCAATGTCACGCCAGGTTCTGGCCTACAACAAGGATCTGAAAGAGATATACTACGATGTTGACCCTGTGGAAGAAGAAGCAGCCCCTGCAGCGGCTTCAGCTTCTGACCCAACACCTGCTCCCGCCGCCGCTCCCGCCGCAGCGGCCACAGAAGCAGCGCCGCCTCCTCCAGCGGCCAGCGCTGGCCCCGCAGCTGCGGTTGCCGATGCTCCAGTTGCAGCTGTGGACATTCTGCGAGCTCTGGTTGCTCAGAAGCTGAAGAAACCTCTCGCCGACATTCCCCTCAGCAAGGCTATCAAAGACTTGGTTGGTGGAAAGTCGACACTGCAAAACGAAATCCTGGGAGATCTTGGTAAAGAATTTGGATCCACACCTGAAAAGCCGGAAGATACACCTCTGGACGAGTTGGGAGCTGCTATGCAGTCTACCTTCAACGGCCAATTGGGCAAACAGTCACAATCTTTGATCGCTCGCATGGTGGCTTCGAAAATGCCCGGTGGCTTCAACATCACAGCCGTCAGAAAGCACCTCGAGACCAGCTTCGGTCTCGGACCTGGCAGACAGGATGGTGTTCTTTTGCTTGCCCTTACCATGGAGCCCGCGTCCCGGTTGGGTTCAGAAAACGACGCCAAAACCTATCTGGGTGACGTTGCTCAGAAATATGCTACTGCTGCAGGAATTAGCCTTTCTTCGGCCTCAGCTGGTGGCGCCGCTGCTGGTGGAGGCGGCGGTGGCATGATGATGGATCCTGCCGCCATTGATGCTCTCACCAAGGATCAGCGGGCGCTGTTCAAGCAGCAGCTCGAGTTGCTCGCTCGATATCTGAAGATGGATCTGCGAGCAGGTGACAAAGCCTTTGTCGGCTCTCAGGACGCCAATAAAGCCCTTCAAGCACAGCTGGACCTGTGGAATACCGAACATGGTGAATTCTACGCCCAGGGTATTGAGCCATCTTTCAGCCCCTTGAAAGCGCGTGTGTACGACTCCTCCTGGAACTGGGCTCGACAGGACGCTCTCAGCATGTACTACGACATCATCTTTGGCCGTCTCCAGGCCGTCGACCGAGAAATCGTCAGCCAGTGTATCCGCATCATGAACAGATCAAACCCGACCCTCATTGAGTACATGCAGTATCACATCGACAATTGCCCGACCGAGCGAGGCGAGACCTACAAGCTGGCTAAGGAGCTCGGCGAGCAGCTGATCGAGAACTGTAAGGATGTACTGAACGAAGCACCAGTCTACAAAGATGTTATGATCCCTACTGGTCCCCAAACAACCATTGATGCACGAGGGAATCTCGATTACAAAGAGGTTCCTCGCCAGAGTGCCCGCAAGCTCGAACACTACGTACGTGAGATGGCTGAGGGCGGCAAGATTTCGGAGTACAGCAACCGCACCAAGGTCCAAAACGACCTTCGCAACGTGTACAAGTTGATCCGAAAGCAGCATAAACTCTCCAAGGCGTCCCAGCTACAATTCAACAGCCTGTACAAAGATGTTGTTCGTGCTCTAGCAATGAACGAGGCCCAGATCATGCCTCAGGAAAATGGAGATGTCAAGAAACCTGGCCGCAATGGGTTGACACGAGCCACCATGAACGGAACTATCAAGCAGGGTAAAACTGAGACGATCCCATTCCTCCATCTCAAGAAGAAGGAGGAACACGGCTGGGATTACAGCAAGAAGTTGACCGGAGTCTACCTCGAAGGGCTCGAGAATGCTGCAAAATCCGGTCTCAGCTTCCAAGGCAAGATGGCATTGATGACCGGTGCTGGTGCTGGGTCTATCGGTGCCGAGGTCTTGCAAGGCCTGATCAGCGGTGGTGCCAAGGTTGTTGTCACTACCAGCCGCTACTCTCGCGAAGTCACTGAATACTACCAATCCATGTACGCTCGATTCGGTGGCCGTGGGTCTCAGCTTGTCGTGGTGCCATTCAATCAAGGCAGCAAGCAGGATGTGGAAGCTCTCGTCGACTACATCTATGACAACAAGAAGGGGCTGGGTTGGGATCTCGATTTTATTATTCCATTCGCTGCCATTCCCGAGAACGGCCGCGAAATCGACAGCATCGACTCCAAGTCCGAGCTGGCTCACCGCATCATGTTGACCAACCTCATCCGGCTGCTCGGCTGCGTAAAGTCCAAGAAATTCGAGAGTGGGTTCAACACTCGACCTGCTCAGGTCATGCTCCCACTTTCGCCCAACCACGGGACCTTCGGTAACGATGGTCTCTACTCCGAGTCCAAACTTGCTCTGGAGACCTTGTTCAACCGTTGGTCTTCTGAGAGCTGGGGCGACTACCTCACTATCTGCGGTGCTGTCATTGGCTGGACTCGTGGCACTGGGTTAATGAGCGGCAACAACATCGTTGCGGACGGCGTTGAGAAATATGGTGTTCGGACCTTCTCGCAGCAAGAGATGGCCTTCAACTTGCTTGGTCTGATGTCTCCTGCCATTGTTGATCTCTGCCAGGAAGAGCCTGTCTTTGCCGACCTGAACGGTGGCCTCCAGTTCCTCCCCGACCTCAAGAATCTCATGACCAAGCTTCGAGCTGAGATCATGGAGAGCAGCGCCATTCGACAGGCCGTCACCAGAGAGACCGCTCTTGAGAACAAGATCGTCAACGGCGAAGATAGCGAGGCTCTATACAAGAAGGTCACCATCGAGCCCAGAGCAAACCTCAAATTCGACTTTCCCGAACTACCCGATTGGAAAAAGGAAATTGAGCCACACAATGCCAAGCTCAAGGGCATGGTTGACCTTGACAAGGTTGTGGTTGTCACCGGTTTCTCCGAGATCGGCCCATGGGGTAACTCTCGTACCCGTTGGGAAATGGAAGCCTATGGCGAGTTTTCCTTGGAAGGCTGCGTGGAGATGGCCTGGATGACAGGGCTCATCAAGAACCACAACGGCCCTCTGAAGGGCAAATCCTACTCTGGCTGGGTTGATGCCAAGACTGGTGAGCCTGTCGACGACAAAGATGTCAAAGCCAAGTACGAGAAGCAGATCCTCGAGCACTCTGGTATCCGTCTTATTGAGCCTGAGCTGTTCAATGGCTACGACCCCAACAAGAAACAGCTGCTCCAGGAGATTCAAATTGAGGAAGATCTTGACCAGTTTGAGGCCTCCAAGGAGACAGCTGAAGAATTCAAGCGACAGCACGGCGATAAGGCCGAGGTCTTCGAGCTTGAATCTGGAGAGTACAGCGTTCGCCTGAAGAAGGGCGCGACTCTCCTCATTCCGAAAGCGCTCAGATTTGATCGCCTGGTCGCTGGCCAGATCCCGACCGGCTGGAACGCGAAGACATATGGTATTCCGGACGACATCATCTCCCAAGTCGACCAGGTTACTTTGTTCGTCCTCGTCTGTACTGCGGAAGCACTCCTCTCTGCTGGTGTTACCGACCCGTACGAATTCTACAAGTATGTCCACCTGTCAGAGGTGGGCAACTGCGTGGGTTCTGGTATTGGTGGTACTACCGCGCTTCGCGGCATGTACAAGGACAGATTCATGGACAAGCCTGTGCAGAAGGACATTCTTCAGGAGTCTTTCATCAACACCATGGCTGCTTGGGTGAACATGTTGCTCTTGTCATCCACTGGCCCGATCAAGACCCCAGTCGGTGCTTGCGCGACGGCTGTCGAGTCCATCGACATTGGCTACGAGACTATCATCGAAGGCAAGGCTCGGGTCTGCTTCGTCGGCGGTTTTGACGACTTCCAAGAAGAAGGCTCTTACGAATTCGCCAACATGAAGGCCACGAGCAACGCCGAAGACGAATTTGCCCATGGCCGCACACCAAGAGAAATGTCCCGCCCTACTACCACGACCCGAAATGGGTTCATGGAGTCCCAAGGATGTGGTATGCAAATTATCATGACGGCTCGTCTTGCGTTGGATATGGGTACCCCCATCTACGGCATCCTTGGCCTTGTCTCAACCGCCACCGACAAGATTGGGCGATCTGTGCCAGCTCCTGGTCAAGGCGTGTTGACCACGGCTCGTGAGAACCCCGGCAGATTCCCGTCGCCTCTGCTCGACATCAATTACCGCAGGAGACAGCTCGATCTTCGACGACGTGCCATCAAGAATTGGCAAGAATCAGAGCTTTTGTACCTCCATGAAGAAGTCGCGGCGATGAAGGCACAAGCCGGCTTTGGCTTCAACGAGACCGAGTATATGGAGGAGCGTGCAGCTCACATTGAAAAGGAGGCTATCAGGCAGGAGAAGGAGGCGCAGTTCAGCCTGGGCAACAACTTCTGGAAGCAAGATTCCTCCATTGCTCCTCTCCGTGGTGCGCTGGCCACCTGGGGTCTCACCATCGATGACCTGGATGTCGCATCCTTCCATGGTACGTCCACGGTTGCCAACGACAAGAACGAGTCCGAGGTCATCTGCAAGCAGATGGCTCACCTCGGCCGCAAGAAGGGCAATGCTCTCCTCGGTATCTTCCAGAAGTATCTGACCGGCCATCCCAAGGGTGCCGCAGGTGCTTGGATGTTCAACGGTTGCCTGCAAGTCCTCAACAGCGGTCTGGTACCAGGCAACCGCAACGCGGACAACGTCGATCAGGTGATGGAGAAGTTCGACTACATCGTCTATCCGAGCCGCTCACTCCAGACCGATGGCATCAAGGCGTTTTCAGTCACGTCTTTTGGTTTCGGTCAGAAAGGTGCTCAAGCTATCGGCATCCACCCTAGGTATCTGTATGCTGCATTGGACGAGGCCGAGTTCCAGCGCTACAAGATGAAGGTCGAAGCTAGACAGAAGAAGGCGTACCGCTTCTTCCACAACGGCATGATCAACAACACCATCTTTGTCGCCAAGACCAAGGCGCCATATCCAGATGAGATCATGCAGAAGGTCTTCCTGAACCCCGACCAGCGTGTCTCCGCCGACAAGAAATCTGGCGAGCTTGTGTACACTCCTGTGTCTCCCACTAAGCCATTGAGCCACAACGCATCGGAAACGAAGGCGATGCTGGAATCTCTGACAAAGGCCAGCGCTGCCGAGGGCTCCAAGGTCGGCGTGGACGTTGAGGACATTCGTGCTATCAACATTGAGAACGAGACGTTCGTCCACAGAAACTTTACCGAACAGGAGCAGGCCTACTGCAACAAGGCCGCCTCTCCTCAAGCATCATATGCCGGACGGTGGAGCGCGAAGGAAGCGGTGTTCAAGTCGCTGGGAGTTTGCGGCAAGGGCGCAGGTGCTCCTTTGCACGACATTGAGATCCTCGCCGACGAGAACGGTGCACCAAAAGTTGAGCTCCACGGAGCTGCTCTCGAGGCTGCCAAGCAAGCTGGCGTCAAGACGGTGAATGTCAGCATCAGCCACAGCGAAAGCCAGGCGATCGCTGTCGCTGTTTCTGCTTTTTGAGGGATTCTCGGCTTCGGCTGAAGGGTATTGTACAAATTCGGGATGTTTTGATTGCAGGACCTGTGCGTTGAAATGGAAGCGTTTTCTTTTGCCCGTTGGTCATGATGGGCGTTGTTCATTAGCGAGATGAGGTGGTGTGGTTTGGGGACGAGATACATTCTACATTCGTGTAAACAAGAGCCCCGATCGCTCTCCAGGAAGCATAATAGATTTCAACCTTGACTGACGCCACATTGCCCTACTTGCATCCGGAGTGTTCACACCATCCACCGTCTGTGGCCGTGGAGAGTAGCGTGCGAATATCGCGTCTGTCCTGAGTAAGGCTGCGAATCTCACCACCCAAGATTCGCCACCGGGCTTTTCGCGACGAAGTTCTCCAAAGGTGCCTGTCACTTCATTCTTGTATCCTTGGCCTCCTCCTTCAGTGGCACACGGTATGAAGCACACCTGGAGCTCATGCATTCCCAGGGCCTCTGCTCGCCCGGCTTCGCATGTTCTCGGATCCAGGACTCGACCCTGTTACCGCATGGGACCCAATGGATTCGCTCTCCCGCTCGGCGCTTCTGGTAAGACAAATTTGGCCGAGAGAAGAGCCGCGTCAATGCGTGCTCACTTACGGGGGGATAAGAGCTGCTCGATCTCTCGCAGTGCCCTTGAAATATCGTGACGGACCAGGTGAGCTGTTATCGTTGCCAAGTTTGTACGAATACCCCGGAGAGTTGAAAGTCACTTGCGATTAAACGATCTTGTTCTCTATCTCCGGACGCCACAAAACCAACGGTTTGCGGGATCTTTGTTGATTTACGAAACCGGTATTCCCTACGCCATTCAAGTCCGAGGCCGGCCATGGTGAACAGTCTCTCCGTCGAGCAGCAAGCGCGAGCCGCCAAAGCATATATCCTACAGGAACTGCGTGAGACGGAAGATGGTCTCTCTGTGCTTCAGGACGAGGACTTCATTGCGAGGCTGGATATGAACTTTATCACCATCTTTGGTATTTTCGCCGAACTCTATGGCTATCGGCACGACTGCCTTGATCAACTCGTGGACCTGATCACAATGTGCGGGAAGAGCTGGCAGATGAGATCGCCAGAACTGCGGAAGACTGACAAGCAGCGCGAACGGGATCCTGAATGGTATCTCTCGAACCAGATGTTGGGTGGTGTCTGTTACGTCGATCGGTACGCAGGCAATCTGGCCGGGATCAAGGCGAGGATACCGTATTTCAAGGAGCTTGGGTTGACTTATCTGCATTTAATGCCTCTCTTCCTGGCTCCTCAGCCTCTCAACGATGGTGGATACGCCGTGTCAAGTTATCGAGATGTCCAGCCTGAACTTGGCACCATCGACGAGCTCCGAGACTTGGCCACCGCGTTGAGGGAAGCCGGAATCAGCCTGGTGCTGGATTTGGTGTTCAACCATACCTCGAATGAGCACCGGTGGGCACAGAAAGCCGCCGAGGGCGAGCCTGAGCATTCTGCCATGTACTGGATTTTCCCCAACCGCACCGTTCCATCAGCGTTTGAGCGCTCGACGCGCGAGATCTTTCCGGACGATCATCCTGGATCCTTCATCCAACTACCAGACGGACGGTGGGTATGGTCCACCTTCTATCACTTCCAGTGGGATCTGAACTATTCAAACCCGGCGGTATTCCGAGCGATGGCGGCCGAGATGCTCTATTTGGCCAATCTTGGAGTCGACTTCTTCCGCATGGATGCTGTGGCCTTCATGTGGAAACAGATGAACACCGACTGCGAAAACCTGCCGGAAGTCCACAAGCTGCTGCGAGCCTTCAACGCGCTTTGTCGCATCGCCGCGCCGTCGGTGCTTTTCAAGTCCGAAGCAATCGTCCACCCCGACTTTGTCGTGCAGTATATTGACAAATACGAATGCCAACTCTCCTACAACCCCCTTCAGATGGCCTTGACATGGGAAGCGCTGGCAACGAGGGACGTCTCCATGCTCTCCCAAGCAATAGAGCGAAGGCATAACATCGCCCGCGGCTGTGCGTGGGTCAACTACGTCCGCTCCCACGACGACATCGGCTGGACATTCTCCGACGAAGACGCCAGGGAACTCGGGAAAGAAGGCACGAACCACCGCAAATTCCTGAACGCCTTCTTCGTCAACCGCCACCCGGGCAGTTTTGCCCGCGGCGTGCCCTTCCAAGATAACGCGCGAACAGGCGACTGCAGGATATCGGGGACGACGGCATCCTTGGCGGGGCTGGAGTCGATGCAGGACCACGCAATCGAGCGGATCCTCATGGCATACTCGATCGCCATGTCCACGGGCGGCATCCCGCTGATCTACCTAGGCGACGAGGTTGGCCAACTCAATGACTACAGCTACCTCAACGACCCGGCGAAAATGGACGACTCCCGCTGGGTCCACCGTCCGTTCTACCCAGAAACCCGGTACGCCGAGCGAAACGACCCCTCCACCATCCCCGGGAAGATCTACGCAGGCATCAAACATCTGATCCGACTGCGCAAGGCGACGGAGGAACTGAGCGGTGGGAGGGCGGTCGGCTTCTATACCGGCAATCCCACCATCTTAGGCTACCAGAGGCCTGGGCTGACTTCCAGCGTGCTCTGCTTGTGCAATTTCTCCGACGAGAGCCAATGGATTGGACGCGACAGGTTTTTGAGCATGCCGATTGAGGCGATGGATCTGGTCAGTGGGTACGTGATTAATTTGAGGGAGGCAGGCATTCACATGAAGCCGCACCAGTATGTGTGGTTGAGATTCTGATCGACAGAGGGAATGTTGGATAGAGGCAGCCGACAGGTCGGTCCTTTACCTTCTCATGTCCCAGTTGCCGTGTTTGTAGAGGTACCTAGGTCGATAGGTCCGGAGTATGGTTTTGATAATGAGCAGGTCGTGGTCTGGGTTATTCATCGTGTTTGTAATGTCAGCAGTGAACCGGGAGAGCAAGCGTCGCAATGCCAGCTTGGAGGGGCTTCAATGCCTTCATTATCGTGTACATGTCTAGAGAACTAAAGAGAAGGAAGGGCAAAGAGAGAGTCATAAGGGCTCGAGGAGAGGCAAGTGCCACCAGTCCCAATCAGGACTAGTATTATCACGTGACACTTTTGGTGGTCGACGCTGCGATCAGGACGGAAATTGCCATGATACGGCTGTGACTGGGAAGGTTACCCGAGGCTAGCCTGACAGCGCCAAGGGGTGTTATGGAGTGTAACCCCTTTTCGTAAGATACCATATTGGTTACGGAGGTCTCTGTACCTAACTATATAGTCAATAGTTAGGTTTGTCCCTAGAGCCCTCCGAATGCATTATTGTTGAAATAGGACGCAAGCCATGCTCCAGCCACCTCAGTGTGTTACGTGACTGGCACGTGACCTACCTGTATATAGAGCCACTGTTCCCTCTTCATAGCCTCTCACTCTGACGATCATGTCCTCCGAAAGAGTCACAACGCTGAAATTCAGTTGCCTGAGCAGATTAGTGAGCGACAATCAGTCCCTGCGACTGCCGCCACTGGCGTCGAGGGTCTTCCAATGATCGCTTTTCGCAAGAAAGTTCTCGTTATCTTCTTTGGAAATCATTCCGCGTACTGCAGGCTGGCTGACATGCTGACCGCTGGGGGTGAGACGAAAGGAACAGAACTCCCACTCTCAAGAATATCAGGGGAACAAGCACTGCTCATATGGAATTACCAGGATAACCAGTGAATGCACCTGAGAGCGCTTGACATGGTCATCTTCCTGCGCAGGAGTACTTTTTCTCAAAGCCGAGATGGTACGAGCGGTGTGTGCCACGTTTTTACGCCTTTACGCCTTTGTGATGTTGCGATACGACAGAAATATCGTGTATTTGCCCATGCGTTATCGTTTCAGCGACCTCTAGAATCATATTATCATGAATCATGTACAGAATATAGGGTGTCGTACAGTACAGCAGTTTATCAACGTCGCAACAGCGAAGAAAGTCAAAATGTCGGGGACACATGTCTCGACCACAGGGTTCCAACATTTTTTCAATCCCCGTGCTTTGTGTGCCATGATCCTCCGAGAACAAAGCATCCACCACCCTGCAAGCCCCTGGCCTGGTAGCACATGCCCTCGGATTCTATACCGTCAGTGCCGGTTTCGGTCCATTTGGTATTGATCACGTAGTACGGTGGGAAATTGACCCCCTGGCGGACAAGCGATGCCCGGATGTACAGCAGCGTCGCGCCTACCGAGGTTAGAGGGATGAGATCATCGTCACTGGTGTCCTTAACCAGTTCCGGCACCCTGTGTGCATGTTTGTGAGGCCCCGCCCAGGCGTTGAGGTCGTAGTTGGGACCCCATGGCGCCTCGCACCGGGCCGTGATGATGCCTGCGTCTTCACGAGACTCGGAGTGAGAAATCATCCGCTGAATGATGCCCTCGTCCAAGTGGTAGACGTCGGCGTCGAGCCAGACCACGTGCCGCTCATCACGAAGGGTACTCAGCATGAGATAGTTTCTCAGCTGAGCCAGCTCGGTGCGACGTGCGGTCTGAGCCTCGCTGTCATGCCGGTGCTTTCGATCGAGGGCCGCGGTGGTGTTGAACCCTGGGTGCATCAGGATGGTGAGTCGAGCGACGGGGATGTCCTCCGTGGCTCGTATAAAGTGGTGGTATTCGGCCTCGGAGCTCGTCATGAGCCCGAGCGACACGTTTAGTAAGTCCAGGTTCGCGGCCGCGAGCAGCTCCAGGAAGTCCTCGAAGGATCGTTGTCTTTTCAAAATCAGCCCCGGCGCAAGTCCCCAGGATGTCTCGTCGTAGGTAAGCACTAGCCAGAGGAGAGCGGGATCTGCGTCCGCAAGCGCCCTCTCGTGTCTCATCACATGACCGTCCCTTTGCTCTTTTGTTTCGTGATGTGCTCCCTCTGCATCACTATGTGGTCGCCGGGCAGGTTTGGTTTGATGGTGCCCATTCCACGAAACGCTGGCTCTGTGGAGCCATCCTGAGGTGTCCAGCACTGATCCGACCCAGGAGTGAGCGTGGGTAAATGCAGAGGTGACTTGTCACTCACCCAGCAATGTGGTCCCAACGAGCACGACGAGTAAAATGAGGGCGACCAGGCCTCGAGCTCGGCGTTTCATGGAGAGAAGCGATAGCATGAGCAGAGCATGTGGTACCTCGTACTCGTAGAGTGGATGATGCCTGCATAGGGTGAGCGTTGACGAAAGAGCGAACGTCCGGTCAGGGAATCGAGAAAAGCCATTTCTGTGCACTATATGCGGTCGACAGAAGGCGCATATGAACACTATAGCGGGTCTGGTGTGTGCCTCTGTTCATAGGGTTCGATCACATCCTATAAGCCTCTAAAGATGCATGACTGCAATGAAGCAGACTGTTACCTAGTGTTATGTCGATCACGTTCCGCATGCCGGACCCGTGAGGCTGAGCATTCAAGAGAGCCGTTGACGCACCGATCAGCGTCGTATTCGCCAACAGAAAGGCGGCTCCAAGGTGGGTATTTGATCATCTCTTGGTACCTGGTTCGACAGCTTCTCGGCCCCAATTATGAAAAGACGGATCAGCCCAACCACACAGTACCGGGCTAGGTGCTCGCGACTTGTACTTACAGAGTAGTGGGTTTCAGAAAAAGGTTCTGTGGCCTAGGTGGCCCTTCGCACGTACCTCGGAACCCGGGAACATTGATATCAACGTGCCGGAAGCCGACTCTGGGACTTGCTCGTGGCCGCTGCACTCAGGATCATTCACATGACGGCAGCACCCTGTTGTTGGTCTTCGCACTGGCCCAGAAGACGTCCATGTCAGAGGTAGGTGGTCGTGTTCAGAGTGAACATCGCGAAACACACACACCCAGGGAGAGACATGCGGCTGGAAGGCGTACAACATGTCTTGAGAGTGAGATATGCAGTGAATAATATCCACCTCGCTGCTTGGTCAGAAAAAAACAACAGCAACAGAGTCCGTGAGGAATGACCTCTTGGAATCCTGCATGATCAAGAGCGTTGTGTTATTGTGCCTCTTGCCTCGCTCGTAGAGAAACCTGAGCGAGCGCTGAAGCTGTTCTGAGCTGTCGGGCCTGTGCACCTCCGTAGTGGCACTTTATTTCGGCGGAGTACTCCGTACACGGAGGCCCTGTTGCGCGACGCGCTTAGGACGCGCTCGACGCGTTAAGCCCCTCCAGCTTTCAAGGGGATCTTAATTTCTCAATTCCGCAGACACCTTTACATTGACAAGATTTCCCAACATCAAGATGGCGACTCTGGTAGACTCAATCCTGAATTCAGACGCCTTCGGCGCAACACCATCATCGCCACGACGGGCTCAAAACGGCATCCCTTCCTCCTCCCGAGCGCGCCCTTTACCTTCCGAGAGCAATGGCATCCCTTCAGAAGCCGACGTCTTCCCAGACGATGAGGTCGTGGGCGCTGCGCGCAATAGACGTCGAAATCCTCTGGATCGCAATGTCCCGCAAGTTACGGACAAGGCAGGAGAGAAGGTGCAACAAGCGTTTGAAGATTTCCTCGAATCGCACATTGAAGAACCATCGTCTTCAGCAGCGCCTCCTTCCAGCGAGCTGAGAACGGATAAATACTACATCAATCAGATCCATGGCCTGCGAGAATTCCAGCTCTCGACTCTTTACGTCGACTTTCGGCACCTTCTATCCTACAAGGAGGGTCCCATCCTAGCCGACGCGATCGCGAACCAATACTATCGGTTCCTGCCATTTCTCGTCCAAAGTCTGCACAATTTGCTCTCGAAATACGAGCCTGTATATTTCAGAGACCACCGCCAGATCACGAGCAATGCATCTCAGGCGGGTACCTCATTGGCGGGGAATGCGACCAGCGAGGGCAGCAGCCAGGGAGAAAAGACCCTCAATCAACAGACGGACAAACTGTTCACCTTGGCCTTCTACAATCTTCCGCTCGTATCACGAGTGCGACAACTACGGACGGATCAAATCGGCAAACTGCTCTCCATCTCAGGCACAGTCACACGGACATCAGAAGTTCGTCCCGAGCTGGCTCTCGGAACATTTATCTGCGAAGCATGCAACACCACCGTGCCCAACGTGGAACAGACTTTCAAATACACAGAGCCCACAGTGTGTCCTAACCTCACCTGCGGTAACAAGGTGGCATGGCGGTTGGATATCCGCAACAGCACTTTTGTGGACTGGCAGAAATGTCGAATCCAAGAGAACAGCTCCGAAATCCCGACTGGAAGCATGCCGCGCACGATGGATGTCATTCTGCGAGGAGAACAAGTCGAGCGAACGAAGCCGGGGGAGAAGTGCATCTTCACAGGCACGATGATAGTGGTACCGGATGTTTCTCAGCTAGGCATCCCTGGTGTCAAACCCGAGGCGTCAAAAGATAATCGAAATTTCCGAGGAGCAGACGCCGGTGGCGCGGGAGTCTCGGGGTTGAAAGCCCTGGGTGTCCGGGATTTGACATATCGTATGGCATTCCTGGCCTGCTTCTCTTGCCCTGACACTACCACACCGGGTCAATCAGCGAGTCAGTTGAACGGTCAATCCATGAACATCCTCAATTCGCTGCAACAGACAGACCTTTTCGAGAAGTATGACGACGGAATCAAGGCTCAAGAAGCATATCTCGAGACCCTGACACAAGCTGAAATCGATGAATTGAGAAACATGGTTCACTCTGACAAAATCTACAGTCGGCTGGTCAATAGTCTCGCACCTACAGTCTATGGCCATGAGATCGTGAAGAAAGGTCTCCTTCTCCAGCTCCTGGGCGGCGTCTCGAAGATGACTCCGGAGGGCATGGCTCTGAGAGGAGACATCAACATCTGCATAGTTGGCGACCCATCCACCTCGAAATCTCAGTTTTTGAAATACATCGCCTCGTTCCTTCCCCGAGCCGTGTACACCTCGGGCAAAGCATCCAGCGCAGCAGGTCTCACAGCTGCGGTTGTGAAAGACGAAGAAACTGGCGAACATACAATTGAAGCCGGCGCCCTCATGCTCTCCGACAGCGGCACCTGCTGCATCGATGAATTTGACAAGATGGATATATCTGACCAAGTCGCCATCCACGAAGCCATGGAACAACAAACCATCTCGATCGCGAAAGCCGGCATCCACGCCACACTGAACGCACGCACATCCATCCTCGCAGCCGCAAACCCCATTGGCGGCCGATACAACCGCAAGACAACTCTCCGAGCGAACATCAACATGTCCGCGCCCATCATGTCCCGCTTTGACCTCTTCTTCATCATCCTGGACGAGTGTAATGAAGCCACGGACCGCCATTTGGCAGACCATATTGTCAACTTGCACATGCTCAAAGACGATTTCGTGCAACCCGAGTTCAGCACAGAGCAACTACAGCGGTACATCAGATTCGCGCGCACCTTTAAACCTAAGTTCACCACGGCTGCAAAGAGACTGCTGGTCGATAGGTATAAGGAGCTCAGGGCGAATGACACAGGCGGTGTAGTGGGCAAGAATTCATACCGCATTACAGTCCGGCAGCTCGAGTCACTGATCAGATTGAGTGAAGCGATCGCCAAGGCAAACTGCGTCGAGGAAATCACCGAGGTCATGGTCAACGAGGCCTTCGATCTGCTGAAGCAGTCGATCATCAGCGTCGAACAGGATGACGTGGTCGTCGAGGATGACGAAGACGAGAACCAAGCCCAAGCCCAACAACAGGACGGGCCGGAAGCTGACAGACCTATGGGAGATGGAGATGGTGACAACGAGCAAGATGGAGCCAGTCTCCCTGACGCCCGTGCCTCGGCCACTCCAGCACCAAGACCAACTACCAAAATCACATTCGAGAAGTTCCACTCCATCCAGACGATGCTGGCCACTCGCATACGTGACGAAGAAGACCGCACCGGCGAGGGACCCGAGCGAGATGCTCTTTTGCTGTGGTACCTCGAGCAGATTGAAGAGCAGTTGGGCAGTGAAGACGATGTCGAGCGAGAGAGGGCGTTGGCGCGGAAAGTGTTGAAGAAAATGGTCAAGGTACGTTGGTCCACTTTGTTCTAATCCCCTTTCTACGACTTTGGCCAAATACAACTCCAGATACTAATGCTGCTTTGTAGGATAATGTGATCATCGCGATTCGAGGAGAAGGTCTTGTTGAAGGCGACAACGAGGATGCTGGCGCTGGTTCTTCCGGCGCGAACCAGAGGTTAACGTACGCGTTACACCCGAACTGCGGCCTCTTCGACGAAGAATGACCGACCAAAGGGGTAATGAACATGAGCGGAGATTGACAGATTCCCTGGAATTTATGAACTATAAGCCGTTTGGGCAATCACAGTATGTATGCTACACATGACGGAGGCGGGAACGGACTGAAAGGACGATCGCTCGGCGTTTTTAGTGAGGCTGCCGAGGCTGTTCTGGTCATGAAGGTCGTGAATCATGCAAGCCCAGCGAGAGTATCAAGCGCAAAGAAATAGCGTCTATGATTCTGAACTGTAATCTAATCATAGAGGATTGCAAAGTACATTGTCTCGTGGCTTTCCAGCGGAATGTTACGCTCTCTCTCTCTCTCTCTCTCTCACTCTCTCTCTCTCTCTCTCTCTCTCTCTCTCTCGTAGTCGCGAAAGGAAGCTTCTGTCTCTCT